ATTCTGGGATGTGGGTCATAGAGGATCCTGCTGTGATTTATGTCGGAGAGTGTTTTGCCTATGTTCTCCCCTAGGAGTTTTATAGTTTCTGGTCTCACATTTAGATCTTTAATCTATTTTGAGTTTATTTTTGTGTATGGTGTTAGAAAGTGTTCTAGTTTCATTCTTTTACAAGTGGTTGACCAGTTTTCCCAGCACTACTTGTTAAAGAGGTTGTCTTTTTTCCATTGTATATTCTTGCCTCCTTTGTTGAAGATAAGGTGTCCAGAGGTTCATGGATTTACCTCTGGGCTTTCTATTCTGTTCCAAGTCATCCTTTACTGGCATGTTGTAGAAGAAAGTTCAATGATATGTGGACATACTTGTAATATATTAAGTCAAAACGCCTGCACAGTGTAACAGTGTAAATAACTTTGTAACAAATCGGTATTTGTCCACGTCTGTCATAGTGATCATCACAAAGCTGGTATGGAAGGAATCACATCAAAATGTCACTAGTGGACTTCTTTGCTGGTCCAGCGGTTAAGAATCTGTGCTTTCAACGCAGGGAGTGTGGGTTCAATTTCTGGTCAGGGAACTATCATCTCACACACCGCATGGCGGGGCCAAAAGAAAAAATAAAATAATTCCATTACTGGTAACTCTGTTCGGTGGACTCTTGAATGATTTTTCCATGCTTCTTAAAATTTCTAGAGCAAACAGTTACTCCTTTTCTTTTTTTAATTTATTATTAATTTTTTGGCTGTGCCACACAATATGTGGGATCTTAGTTCCTCCACCAGGGACTGAACCCACGCACCCTGCGTTGGAAGCGTGGAGTCTTAACCACTGGACCGCCAGGGAGATCCCAGGTGCTCCTTTTATAACTGGGAAATGAAACTGATTTTTTTTTTTTTTTTGGAAACAAAACAGAGCATGGTTCTCATCATGTGATGCCTGTGAGCCTCGCCTGGGAGAAGCTTCATTCTCTCCGAACCATCACTGAACTCTGTCTGTTCTTATTTGGGGTCGTGATGTGGTCGTGACTGTTGAGAAGTCCCAGTGCGGACAGTGTGTGGACCTGGCTGGAGGAGGTGCTTCCTGGGGGTCAGCGGCAGGCACGGCACAAAGCAGAAGCACTCCAGCTGTCCCTGTAGAATCCATAAAGAACTGAGATGGTTTATCTGATGGGCCATGAAGTTGCCTCAGGGCAGAACACGCTGCCTGGCATCTCTGCTCCTTGCCAGCTACTCAGCAGCTTACTCAAGTTCAGGGTTCCAGCAGGTCTGAATTTATTTTTCTCCCCTCTCTCCTGTTTCTCTCATACAAATCGTTTTCACCTGTAGAGATGAAATCAGTTTTTCAAACGCTCTCCTGTGTGTGCAAGTAAAACGGCATGCAAATAAGCCTCTCTATGTCTGACTGGGTCTTTGACCTTGAACTTCCTTGGTCTATCCTGGTGAATGGGCAGTCCCTGGGGTGGAGTCCCATTTCTTAGCATCTGATGTGATGCCATCAGCCTGCCTGCCGGGTTGTCACAAGATCTTGCCCTCTGGTGTCACTGTTGTTTTCTCTAAGGCTTGTTGAGGACACTGTTGGTTGCCTTACAGAGTCCCCTCTGTCATGATCCTGAGGACAGATGTTCTCTGGGTTGAGTACCCAGAATGGTCTAATTTCCAGGAGCACTTGGTCCATTTTGTCTAGTGAACTACACAGCCACTGGGTGTTCACTTTCACTGTGCTAATAAAAACTGTGACCCATTTGTTGATTTTGTGATACACACTTTTTTTTGCATGCATTAATCTCATTCCTAATCCATTTTCTGCCCCAAACAATCTACTTTAAAATTCTAATTCCTCCTTTTCTCCTACCCCTAACTCAAGTATTTTATGGACGAGCCATGAGAATCACTGGGGAAACAAGTCTGCCTGGAGAGATGGCCCCTCTTGGGCTCCCTTTTGGGCAGCATCCACCTGCCCACAAGGAGTCCTGCACATGTGCATCAGCCCAGAGCTGACAACTCTCACATCATTTCACCCAGCTCATCCTCTGGACACGCTCCAGTTGGTCAAGGCCCCGCTTAAAGTGGTGCTAGGGTGTGCATGCATGCACGTGCGTGCTCAGTTGTATCCGACTCTTTGCGACCCTATGGACTGTAGCCCCGCCAGTTTCCTCTGTCCATGGGATTTTCCAGGCAAGAATACTGGAATGCGTTGCTGTGCCCTCTTCCAGGGGATCTTCCCAACCCAGGGATTGAACATGTGTCTCTTGCATTGCAGGCAGATTCTTTACCACTATGCCACCTGGGAAGCCCATACAGATAGGTAATCCAGACATGGTTTACTGGCACCTTGAGCAGCGTCATTCCAAGAGCACCAGCACCGCTTGGACTGCTGTTAAAAGTACAGATTCCTGAGTCCACTCTATAGAGTGAATGAGAATCTCTTGGGCTAAAAGTCCAGGGATTGGGCATTTAAAATTACCCCCATCCCCCACAGTGATTCTGTGTATATTAATGTTAGGGAAACATTCTTCAAAGAAAATGATCCAAGATTGATGTGAACAGACTTAAAGACTTGTTTGGTCCCATCTGGTCTCGACAATCCTTTGAAATTGTGTTTGCCTGTATTTGAATCCAACTCACTATCGTCAGGTTGTCTGTTTATCACTTGCCATGACTTTTGAGATATTGACCTGTATCTGTGTGTGCGCATGTGTGTGCCCTTTGTACTGCTGGGACCCAGGAGGGTGGAATTCAGTCCTCCAGCTTGGAGATGCCTAAGACAAGGTCCTGGGTAACAACTTCAGCTTCTGCTGTGTCTCCTATTCCCAGTGAGAGTCGTAAACGTGGTTTGATGATGAAGGTGCTGATAGCGAAGGTGACAGGTTCTGGTGGAGAAACAGCACCAAGGCAGTCGGACATTGACCCCAGGCAGCTGAACCCACAGCAAGCTTAAGGAAAGAGAGAGGAGTGGTGAGGAATAGGGGGTCCTGGCGTAAGACGGTCTTGGGTTCAGACTCTGCCCCTCCACTTCGTGGCTGTGAGCCAGTAGTAATGACAATAACAATAAAAGCAGCCAACACATGCAGCATTCACTGAGTGTCAGGTGCTTGTCTGTGTGTTAGACATCCAGTCTCCCAACTCCACGAGGGTGATCTATTGGATCATCTGTATGTCATAAGTGGGGAGAGCAAGGCACAGAGGTGCCAACTGTTGTCTAACGTCCCACAGCCAGATGGTGGCAGGGGTGGGATTTGAACCAGACCACCTGCCCCCAGAGCCCGGCACTCAGTCACGCCTGCTCCTCTTTCCTCTTAGAGGCATACCTCCTTCTGCTTGGTTATGCGGTTCTCCAGATCTTGGACCTTTTTCTTTTCCTTCTCTATGGCCTCCTTTGCTTTGTTTTTCTCGTAGGCGATGCTGCTCTCGGAAATCTGGAAGTCAACAACAAGTGTTCTGAGGATGCGTGCGCGAGAAAGGAAGGGAAGTGATACCTAAGGGGAAAGCTAGCATTAGTAATAGTTGACACCTGTGAGTCAGGGCTGGGGAGCTAGAGCTCAAGGAACAGGATGTCCGTAGGAGAGAGATATGAGAACCGGAAGTCAAGTCGTGGTTAGTTAGCTATGTCCTCAACAGAGAGAGTTATTTGTCATTCAGGGTTTCTGGGCTGGTGTGCAGGAAGTGACAGGCTGGTGAGTGCTTAGGTCAAAGTGTCTGACACTGAGCCACTGACTAAGCTACTAAACGGACAGATAATGGCACCAATGTGGTCCCTTGTTGGTACCTGGCTTCTTAGGAGGTGGGGCAAGTGAGGCCAAGGGCAGGGGTGGGGGTGGGGGGATGCCTCCTTTCCCAGTAGGCCTGATGTCTGTGGCTTCAAAGGACACTTGCGGTCTCTCTCCAACCTATGAAGGCTTGGGTCTAAAAACCGAAGTCCAAGACAGTTTGCTGCAGAGAACATTTACCCCATAGATCCTGAGATGGGGAGGGGGTTGGAACCCAGCCTCACCTACACAAGCTCCAGGAGGGACACAGCCAGAGTGGGGTCAAGAAACTATTTGCAGCTGTTGAAACTCTTGCAGTGATGCCTCCCACATAAATATAATGCTCACAAGAACATTTTAATGAAATAAATTATTTATCTATGCATAAACAAAAGACTGGAAAGAAATGTACCAGAATGTAAATAATGGCTATTTTGGGGGAATTGAGATTACGGTCATTTATATTTTCTTCTTTTTAGTGGTCTGGATCTTCTAAATTTTCTTTAGTGAATGTGCATTATCGGGTAAAAAGGGAAAACTATTGAAAACTGTTATGCTTTGGAGATGGGTGGTCCTGGAGAAAACACAATCTTCCCGACAACCCTGTGGTTCCAGCATCATGCCCTTGGCCCCCATCCCCATTGCCCTGTGCTGCACACAGGCCTTGCCGCTACACCTGGGCTCTGACTCTCCTCCCTGAATGGGTTTGGCATTTTCCCACTGCCAAGTCTGCCTGAGACCGTCCAGCCCCCACCCTGCCAGGCTGCGTCCTGCCTGATGTAAGAGGCCACTGCATGCTCCGTGGGAGGGTGTGCTTCCTTATTTTGTGCCACTTGGAAAATTACAAATGAAAATGATAATGACGAGGCTGCCTGCTCTGTAAACGCTGCACACGAGTGCCTGCACCGCGTACTGAATGCAACCACCCCCCCCCCCCCCCCCCCCGGTGGCATCTGCCTTCCATTTCGCAGGTGAGGACATGGAGGCTGTAAATGAAGACATGCGAGGATGAGTAATGGGGCAAGGTCGCACCACCGGGGGCCAGTTCAGACGCCAGTGCCCTGCCCCAGTCATTCTGCCACCTGGCGTCTGGACCTTGCCTGAGCTGTCCTCCTGATTGAAGCCCCACCTGACCTGCAGGCAGGAGATGCGCCTGTGTGTTCATACGTAGGCTGGCACAGAGTCTGCCACCCTGCTCAGCAGGGGCGCATGCTATAAAACACCCTTAGCCCACCTGTATAAGGGAGGCCTGGGGGATGCCACTGACCACAGTCTGGGTTCTACCGCTTAGCAAGGCTTGCTCGGTGTCGGTGCTCCCTCACCCTGTGTGGACTCTGACCTCACTTCCCTGCCAAGGTCTCTGCTTGACTGTCCCGCCCCCATACCCCGCCATGCACACCACCTTCCCCACTCGATCTGGACTCTGAGCTCACCTGGGCAGGTGTTTCACAATGAATGCACTGACTCCTCGCAGCAAATCTCTGTCACTGCACCCACATTACAGATGAGGGCACAGAGAGGGGTTTGCCCGGGGTCACACAACATGGTAGGGCAGAGCTGCAGCTGGAACTGGAATCCACTCGTTTGGCCCACACAGCTCTCCTGCTACGCCTCACTCTGCCCCCGACTCTGTGGCTCCCTCTGGCTTTCCCGTCCTGATCCCTCCCCTTTGGTTTCCATCCTGTTCCAGTGTGATTTCATTCTTCCCGCCCTGCCCCCACACCCCTGGCTAAGTCAGGCACCCTCCTTTGCACTTGGGACCCCTGACCTGGGGCATTCTCTTCCCTCGATGTCCTTGTAGTGTTCCTCTGCCCTCCAGGTCTCACTCAATGTCACCAAATACGAGAGGCCCTCCCTGCCTGTGGGCCACTCTCTAACTCATGCTGGTTTTGTACAGCCTGTGGCTCTGGGGTCACCTGGGCGTTTGTTTACATGGCTGTCTGCCCTCCGTCCTGGAGCGGAGGGCCCATGAGGATATGGCCATGGCCCGTCTAGGGCTCTGCAGTATCCCTGACACCCAGCAGGGCCTGGCACACGGCAGGTACACAGAGCCCGTTTGACTTTCAGGGTGTGACCCGGGCATTCATCCCTCCTCTCGGCCTTGGGGGTCTGCCTTCATGGTGGCTCCAGGCAGGTGAGGCTGGTGAGCCCAGTTCCCAGGCTTGTAGGGGTGGATGTCACCAGCTCTGCCCCGGCCTGGCGCTTGGACTCCCCTCCCCCCTCCCATGTCACTCTCCTCCAAGGATTGAACCTGCATCTTTATCGCCACTTCGGAAGCCCCGATGAACACTAACTGGTTTAATCTCATGATGCAGGGGTAGTTAGCCTCCCCAGGTTATGGATGATGAAACTGGTCCAGGAGGTGAGGTGGTCTGCCTTAGGGTCATACAGCTGGTGAGTCCTGTGATGTGACATTGGCCACTCTGATCAGAGGCACTGCTCTCCATCAGCCTGCTTTACCACCTGCTCTAATCTGGGTACCAAAACACAGTCTCGCATCTGGTCCTGAAGCTGCTTCCAAGGGCTTTCGGCTGCTACCACCCACTTCCTCTCTCTGCTCCCCATACCTCCTTCTGCTGTGTTAAGTGGTTCTCCAGATCTTGCACTTTCCTCTTTTCTGTCTCTAAGGCTTCCTTTGCTTTTCTTTTCTCATGGGCCATGCTGCTCTCCAAAACCTGAAAATCAATGACCGGTCTTTTTGGTTGCCTGCACATTTAGCGGGGGAAATTGCTAGTAAGCATGATACCAATAATAACAACAGTAGCTCAAATGTTGGGGGCTGGTCTTATGTGCCAGGGCCCAAGGCCAGTGATCCTCACCCAGTTTATTCTCATAGCATCCTCATCCATAGAGAAGTCGTGTCCCCATTTTATAGGTGAGGAAACTAAAGAGGGGAAAGTTACTGAGGGCCCCCGGGTCCTGCAGTTTGTTAGTGGAGAGGCCAGGACTGAGCCCTGCATATTGTTTGTGTGCAGAGGCCCCGGCAGGGAGCCAGTGAGGAAAGGCGACCAAGCTTGCCTTATTACAGAGTCTGAGTTCTTATCATTGTGCCAGGCAGCCTCTCTGATAAGAAGAAGAATCTCATTAATAATGGAATTTCCCATTATTGAAAAAAATCTCTGAAATAGAATCAGATTTCTAGAGGAGGGCAGTGTATTGAATTAATGAGCCACACATACCAATTTCTGGACGGGAAGGGGACCAACCTCACAAGGGAAGCTTTGAGAGGATGGGAGGGCTGTGGTTAGTATTTAGTGCCCATAATCAGGGATTTTTTTATCCAGGAAGCAACTTGCTGATGAGCCATTCAGTTAAGTGGTTTATGCAAATTGCAGAAGGATAGAAGCTGCCAGCAAAGCCCCTGTTTCTAGTCACTGCAAGAAAGGGCACCTCAACTCTCAAATAGATTATTATTATTATTACTTTTTTATATGCACCAAACTTAAAGTCTTTATTGAATTTGTTGCAATATTGCTTCTGTTTTGGTTTTTCGGCTGCAAGGCATGTGGGATCTTAGCTCCCCAACCAGAGGTCAAACCCACCCCTTTGGCACTGGAAGACAAAATCTTAATCACTAGACTACCAGGGGAGTCCCTGGAATGGGTTGTATTTTAAACACCAGCTTGGCTGTCAGATGTCTGGAAGTTGGAACGTGGTTTCCATTACAGCTGGTGGTCAGGGTCCTAGATTAGCCTGCAACAATATTCAATCCATAATATGGATGAAATAGTATATACTTTTGTATATTTTTTTCAGTGGAAAGCAGTTTGAAAAACTCCAACACTCAGTGGTTCCAATACCAGCCCTCAATGAAGCAGAAGAACAGTAACATCATGGGAGCTCCACGTTTATTTTGAAGTTTGAGGCGGCTTTAGGAGTAAGACATTTTGCTGCCCCATTACATCTGATCTCACATCGACACTCAGGACTTTGCTATGCAGCCGAGCTGGGCACCACAGGGAAGGCTGTCCTTGCAAAACTCATGCCAAAGTTCTGTCCCCCTTGGACGCTTTGCTCCCACACTCCTGGGCAGGTCATGAGAATTAACCTTTAAAGTTTCCTCCAAACCAGCCTTGTGACCTAGTGATTCTGTTGTTCTTAGAGATTCGTCTGACAATGTGGTGCATGTATGCGTGCAATATGTTTAGTTGTGCCTGACTCCTTGTGGCCCCATAGATTGCAGCCTGCCAGGCTCCTCTGTCCATGGGATTCTCCAGGCAAGAATACTGGAGTGGGTTGCCATGCCCTCCTCCAGGGCATCTTCCCGACCAGCAATGGAATCCGTGTCTCTTGTGTCTCCTGCATTGGCAGGCCGGGGTCTTTATCACTAGTGTCACCTGGGAAACCCCTGACAGTGTGGAGGAAGGTCTAATGGAAAGAAAAATCACATGACCATCTGAGGTTGATCAAAGCCGATGTCTGGGATTCTGATCTCTTATTTCCCAATAAGAAGTCACGAAGAGGTCCTGCTGGGAGGAGTGGTCTGATGTTGTCCAAGGTGTGGGTGACCTGGCCACAACTCCTATTGCTTTGGGGCTGTCTACCATCAGCTTGTTCTTAAATTTCCCTCCTGAAGTGCCCCATAACCTCAAAATCGCTCAGTTCAAGGGGCTTCCCCATCCCTGTGCAGATGACCTCTCGGTGACAATTCACCCCAGCGAACCCTTGGGAGACCCTCCTCTTCCTCATCACCCCCGGAGAAATAACTCAGGACCAGGCACTGACACTGTTTACACAGGCCCGCAGAGCACATCTGTACCCGAGACCTGAGTGAAACCCAACATGTAAACACCTCCCCTCCCTGGATAGGATCAAACTGCATGAGCTCTGCTCACCAGGTTCCTCACTTCTCCCTTCCTGGGGGGCGGGCCAGGACTTCACTCTAAGAGGTAGGGATGTGGTGGAGGGTTAGTACAGTAAGTGCCTAAACAGCACTGGAAGTGCAGTGATGGTATTAATAGCCACCATTCATTGAGTGATGATTCTGGGTCAAACGCTTCACTGTACATGATCTCACCATTATCTCACAGCCATCCTTTAAAGAAGGTAGGTACTGAGCCAGCAAGTAGCCCAGCCGGAATCTGAACCCATGTCTCATCTGGATGCAAAGCCTCACTCTTCACCCCTTTACACTGTCCAAGGATTGAAGCACAAATGAGAACATCTAATAAAAATAACCCAAGGATCTGAGGGTGACCAAAGGTAAGTACATTCAAGTGAACAATGTAATAGGGCTTTCCCCAAAGCTAGTTTGGACACATAAGCAGAAATACATCTTCGACTAGGGAGAGGACAGTTCTGCTCTAGGTCACTGCATGCTGGAGAACTGTGTTCAGTTTTGGCTACAGTTTAGGAAGAAAACAGATGATGAGCTGCAAACCCAGACACCTGTAGGGGCTCAACAGTTACCTGAATGGTGGGGACTGTGGCAAACATCTCCAGTCCATTTCTGCCGCAAGTGGAAAGGAGGGCCAGATTTCCCGACTTTTCAAGAGGATGGGAATCTGCATTTGTTAGTAAATTTTATGAATTCAAGATAAAACACTTCAGGACCAAGCATAACACGTCCATGGGCCCTTTTCAGCCAGTGAGCTGCTAATCTGTCACAGGTTAGAGCAGCTCAGAGGAGGGGACCAAGGCCCGGCCCCAGGCCTGTGAAGGGCATTTGTGTCTGGAGAGGAGCTGGTGCCTCTATTCTTATGCATCTAAAAGGTTATTCTGTGGAAGAGAAAGCAGACAGGTCTTGCAGGAGCCCAGAGTGGTGGGTGGAGGGTTGAAACCCTTTCTGAGAGAGAATCTCAGTCAGAATTTTCTGCCAGCCCAAGGCATCAACACTGGGATGGACTTCCCTGGGCTATAGAAAATTTCTTGGTGGTAGAGATGAAGGGTGGGCATTTTAGGACGTTGGAGGATTCACATAGCCCTAAAGTCCCAGGATTCTGAAATTCCTCCATTTTTAGGATTCAGGATGTAGTCTCCATGCAGAAAACACTCATGTTATCCTGATGTGTCCCCTAAGACTGTATTTTATGACATTTACAATTTTTGTGTAAATTGTAAGTGCAAGGTTACAACTCTAGGGTCCTTGCCTAGAGTCCCGCCTGCTTCTTCCCAAAGTAGCTGAGCTCCCCCATGGACAAATCCCTCTAGGAAACTCCGCCATGCTTGACTCCCCATCAGCTGTGGTTCGAAACTTACTTCCACGTGGCCCTCAAGCTGGGTTTGGGCTCGAGCCGCCTATCTCCCCGAGCTGCATACCTCCTTCTGGTGGGTTAAGCGGTTCTCCAGTTCTCGGACTTTGCTCTGTTCTTCTTCTAATGCTTCCTTTGCTCTGCTTTTCTCCTGAGAAATGGTCTCCTCCAAAGCCTGAAAACCAATGACCAGACAGAATTACAACGGCAGGAATCTGGATTCTGCTAGGCACTGCATGGGCAGGTGGACTCTTTACTACTCACAGCATCCCCATGGGGAGACTGTGGGCAGCTGAGAGCCTGGCAGCTGGGGTGGGCAGGCCCAGATGAGTGTCCCAGGTGAGTCCGTGCTGGCTGCCTGACCTTGACCTGGGCTCAAGCCGGCTCTGCCTCCCTGAGCTCATACCTTCTTCTGGCGGGTTAAGTGGTTCTCCAGTTCTTGGGCTCTCTTCTGTTCTTCTTCTAATGCTTCTTTCGCTCTGTTTTTCTCTTGAGTAATGCTTTCCTCCAAAGCCTGAAAGTCATGACTGTTGTTTAATAGACATAGTTACCATGGTAGGAATCTGGACTCCGGGCCAGGCACTTCAGAGATTAACTCTTTCACATCTCACAACAAACCCATGGAAAACTGTGGACAGTATTTCTAGGGTCTAAGAGCATGGGGTCTGGAGTTGGCAGGGTCAGATTAGAGCCTGTGGCTGATTCTTCCTAGAGGTATAGTCTTGGGCAAGTGAGAAGCTTTAGAAACCTCAGTTTCCCCATCTGTACAATGGGGACAGTAAGAGTGCTTCCTGCCTTGGGTTGATAGGAGGGGCAGAAGAGATGATGAACATGAAATGCTTGGAACATGATGATCATTCACTAGTAAAGATCAATCATTTCTTCTGTCATTTCCACTTTGTTGAAGGAGAAAATAGGCTTAGAGAGATTAGGAATCTGTTCAGTTTACCAATAAATTGCATCAATGGGAAATTGAACCCTGGTCCCTTTGATTCTAGAACCAGTAGTTGGCAAGCTATGGCAGGTGGGCCAAATGTGGCCCACTGTCTGCTTTTTTTTTGTAAATAAAGTTTTATTGGAACGCCACCATGCTCATCATGGGTTGCCTTGGCACTGCATCCACAGAGCTGAGAAATCAGGACAAAGACATGACCTGCACAACTGAAAATAGATACTGTGTGGCTCTTCATGGGAAAAGTTTGCTGACCCCTGATCTAAACCATCAGTGTGTGTGTAACTCAGGGCAGTGTTGTTAACAGATCATAGTAATCATAAAAAAAGAATGATAGCTTCATAAGTTAGCCACTCAGTCGTGTCTGACTCTTTGCAACCCCATGTACTGTAGCCAGGCTCCTCTGTCCATGGAATTCTCCAGGCAGGAATACTGGAGTGGGTAGCCATTCCCTTCTCCAAGGCATCTTTCTGACCCAGGGATCGAACCCCGGTCTCCTGCATTGCAGGCAGATTCTTTAATGTCTGAGCCACCACAGAAACTCTTTAACGGAACCTAGAATTTCTTACCATTGAAGCAGAGTCCTAAGACAAGTCAGGATTTGTGAGGAGGAGCTTAATTAATTAATTTTGACACACATATTTTTAGAAAGGGTGGGGGGTGACAGAGCCATGTTCATTTAAAATCGGGGCACCTACCACTCAAGCCTGTGATGGTACTTTTGGATGAGTCCCTGGGGTCAAGCCAATCAATGTAAGTGTCTGGGGAAGAATGACCCTCAATGGAACAGTAGTGGACATGAGCAACTGTACTGTCTGTCTGTGGGTCCCTGGCTTTGTGTTCCCCTCTGCAAGGGGTGGTGTGCCCTCTGAAGTTTGATGTGATTAAAGGGGGGTTGATGTTAGATCTTGAAACCCTGTGGCTGTTGGAATCAATGGGCATCTGGAGGGCCCAGGCTGGTGCCCAAGGTGGTGGTGAACAGGCTGGGGTTATAATACTGTACATTCACAGTGGAAAACAGTCAAACCAAAATTAAAACTAAAATAAGACATTTGGGAAGGGAGAAATTAAACAAAGAAGAGAGAGGAAACAGGTGGAGAGTTCTGTGAAGGTTTTGAAGATTTTTAGGTTCTTTCTGGTTTTATTTCCCTCTCTATAGAATGGCACTGTTTTGTTTTTTTTTTTTTCTTCTTCTATATCTAATTGCCCTTCTGAAGGGACCTGTCCTGTCTTGATTTAAGGCTGTTGTTTATAGTACCTGTATGGGGCTCACAGGTGATTTTGGTCAGGTTGTTCTTCCTTTTTAATCTTTTATTTCACAAAAGGCAGAGAAAGAGGCAAAGAGGAGAAGAAGTAGTAGGGCATGAATTAGAGGACGAGATGAAACCGGCAGAGGTCTCTGCCTCTTGGAGAGGTCTGGAGAGTGGGGGCGTCTGACAGAGAAGGAGGGTCCCAGCAGGAAGTCACCAAGCTGCTCCTGGTGGAGATGGAGGAACTGGCAGTTCTGGTCCTTTTTGGTGGAAGAAAGGAGGTGCTGGGGGAGAGTTGGGGTTCAGTGGATCTGGTGCTGCTGTTTTGAGGTGGGTGGGAGATGCTCTCTGTGGTGGCTGCACGTGGGAACCACCAGGGAGAGCTTACCAATCCCAGGGCCTGAGCTGCACCCTCACCCCAGCTAGATCAGAGGGGGAGGGCTGCAAGGCCTTAGCATTTTTTTAATCTCTTGAATGACAGAAGTGCAGCCAAAGTCATGAACCAAGGATCCAGGGTGATGGTGACTGAGGTAGTTAAATCCATGGTGGGTCCCTGAATATAAAAAATGGCCAACTCGGGACTTCCCTGGTGGTCCAGTGGTTAAGAATCCTCCTTGCAATGCAGAGGACATCGGTTCGAACCCTGGTCCGGGAATTAAGATCCCGCATGCTGGGGAGCAACTAAGCCCACAAGTCACAACTACTGGAGCCCGTGCATCACATCTAGAGAGTCCATTTGCTGCAGTGAAAGATCCTGCAAGATGCAATGAAGAGCCTGTGTGCTGCAACTAAGAAGTGACACAGCCAAACATATAAATAAATATTTTTTAAAAAACACGGTGAACTCAAGGACGAGGAGAACTGGCCCAGTAACTGCAGTTTCTGGCCTTCTCCTGAGATTCTGACTCAGTGGAGCTTGGGTAGGGCCCAAGAATCTGTATTTTCAACCAGCTTCCAGGTGGTTCTTATCTGCCAGCTTGGGTAAAACCTTCATCTGAGACTCTGTCGCTGAACATGTGTCTGCAGAGCTGTGCCATCAGCACCAGCTGGGAGCTTGTTAGAAACGCAAAGTCCCAGGTTCCACCCCAGACGGGCTGAGTCCGAATCTGCCTTTTCACAACATCCCTAGGTGATTCATGGGCACCTCTGAGTTGAGAGGCACTGCTGGTAGCATCCTCTAATTGGTCGTTTTCTAGAAAAGTAAGTAGCAATTTTGGCCATTCTATTCCCTTGATCTGCATAAAGAGAAAGCAAAACACTGAAGTAACACTGGCTGGTCTTGCACATACTTAGAAACACTCTGTCGGTCATAAACCAGGACTTGTAGTAATGCCTCAGATCTGTAAAATCAGCTGCAGTGTATAAACCAATGAAGTATTGTTTCTAGAAATTTCAATAACTGTGCCTACTCAAGTTGTACTTGCTCTGAGTTTTAAGATCCAAGCTTCATATTAATTCCTCCAACATTATTCACCCTTTTTATTTTTTTAAAAAAAAAAACATGCCTATTTATTTGACTGCACCGAGTCTTAGTTGCAGCACGTAGGATCTTCGATTTTCATTGTGGCATGTAGGACCTTCAGTTGGGGCTTGCAGGATGTGTCTCCCTGACCAGGGATCGAACCCAGGCCCTCTGCATTGAGAGCGTGGGGTCTTAGCCACTGAACTACCAGAGAAGTCTCCATTCACCCTCTTAAATTAATTTAGTTCCATGGTATCCATCAAGATTGCTGCTGAAGTTTCTCCTCTAAACTCACGCCCTCAGTTTTTTATGGGAAAGTTCATCTCTCCTTTTCCAGCATGAAAGGGAAGAACAGGGACCTCCTTACCGCCTTCTCTTCCGTCAGCCACTTGACTCGGGCTTTCAGCTTCTCCTCCTGCTGTAGCCTTTCCTCGCTTAGCTTCTCCTTCTCTGCCAGGTGCTCTCGCAGCTTTTCTTGCATTAAAGACTGCTGAGTTTCCTGAGAACTGCTGATCTTGATCTGAAGGGAGAAGAAGGGAGATTGTAGCTGATTAGCCCTGTTCAGGAATAATGCAGGAGTCATTTCCACTACCTTTGTGGGAGGGACAAAAGTTCCCAAAACTTGCTGAAAAATGCAGAAAAGCTATGCTTAGCCTAGTAACTAGGCTAACTAGTACTACTAGTACTACTAGTAACTAGTAGGAAAGCAACAGAGCATCATAGGTAAGAGTTCAGACTCTAGATCTAGACAGACTCTCAGCCATAATTCTTTCTAGATGCTTTTTCATTTAGAACTTACTATGAATATATACCTCTTAGTGTTATCAGGACTAAACGAGACAATGTTGGAAAGCTTTTACCACAGTGCTTAGCACGTTGTAGGTGCTCAGTAAATGGTAGTTAGACTTATTCATTATTATTTGCTAAGTGTAAGAGAAAAAGCAGTGAGCTAGGGCCAGAAGGCCTGAACTTTTGTCTTGATTTTTCCACCAACTAGGTGACATTGAGATAGTTACCTAAGCCTCTGAACGTCATTGTCCATATCTGTAAAATGAGGAGAATGGACTAGATCGGGGTTGGCAAACTACTGTCTGCAGGCCAAATCTGGACCACTGTCTATTTTTATAAATAAAGTTTTATTGGAACAGAGCATGCTTGCCACACCCATTCATTTACACAATTGTCTATGGTTGTCTTTGTTCTGTAGCAGCAGAGTCAGATAGGTGTGACAGAGACTATATGTCCTGAAATATTTATAGGCCCTTTACAGAATATTCTGGCCCTTTACAGAAAAATTTGCTTACCCCTGGAATAGATGGTCTTTGTGGTGGATGGCTGCGGTGGTCCCACCATTTCACCCTTCCTCTATTCAAACCTTTGGTTACGTAACTTGTAGTGCCTGCCCATATCCTGCCCCCTGACACTGAACTCAGTCATGTGACTTGCTCTGGCCAATGGGATGTTGGCAGACATAACACAAGGGCCTGACTTCTCTTCCTGATCTCTGCTTCCTCTGTTAGTGCCATGAGAACATGCTCAGGCCAGCCTGCTGGAGTATCAGAGACACGTGGAACAGAGCACAGCTGCTCCAGCTGAGGCCAGCCTAGATCAGTCAAGAGCCAGCCAACACCCAGGCATGTGAGTAAGTCCATCCAAGGCCAGTGGATTCACCTCGCAACTGGCCCCAGACATGTGAGCAGTGGACAGTAACGGTGGAATACTGATATTGTTTATTATACAGTATTAATATGATAATAGCTATCAGACCAATACAATCCCTGAGGATTATTTTGCCTCTAAAATATTGACATTATGTAACTTTTGGTACATCTGCTCTCTGTACTGTGGTACTTCTTCCATTGCATTTAATAAATACAATTTTTAAGATCTAAAATGTCAAATTTTAAGATCTAAAATTGTCTGGGTTTAGACAGAGGAAAACAAGTCTCCTTGCCCTCCTGGGAGGTCTCAGCCACCCCATCTGAATCATTTGGAGTGCAAATGGAGATATCACCTTTTGGAGGATGTGCGCTGACTACCTAATAGAGGAACAACAGAGTTAAGATGCTCAGTGCCATGAAAATTTCAAGGAGGAGCTGAAATGAACTTTTGGAGCTCAAAGATTACCTGAAGTTCCTGGGTCCGGCTTGTAATTTTTTTATAATGTTCCAGAAGGTATTTCAGATACAAAGACAATCCTTAAAAAGAGAAGCAAGAAGAAGGTAAATATCAAGTCAATTCACCTTCTTTGTTTTCTGAATAATGTCTTCATAGGGCTTGCCAACAGGAGGATGAGGAAAATGCTACTCTCTCATCAAGATAACACAAGCTGCCATCCATCTTGTTTTTTTTTTTTAAATGGTTGATCAGCTTCAATTGGGCTCAAATCCAACTTTCTTTTTGGAGGTGGACAATAAAAACCATCCACAGAACCCTTGTTGACTGAGTCCACTGTGTACAAAACTATGAGCTGAGCTAGGGGGATGGTATGAAGCCATTCCTCAAGGGACTTAGGTTCAGTCTGAGAGAACAGGTCTAAGTGCCTGACAGGAAACAGGCAGTGACCTTGGGTTGTGTGGAAGTGACCGTGGAAGGAGTGGGGAAGTGTGAGGGTCCCAGAGGAGGAGCAATCATTTACCCAGAGTGATTACTGCTCAGCTGAGGATCCACCGGGCGTGGGCACTGGCATGTATTCAGAGTTGGAGGGGAGGACATTTCAGAATGGAAGATGGGGATGAATGGTGCCCCACAAGAATAAAAGGATATTAGCATGTAGTTCTTCACTCCATCAAAAAAAAATAAAAGGATATTAGCATGTAGTTTCTTAACGACATCACAGTGAGTTGATGGTGACATTCAGAGGAACTTGATTACAGGCTTATGGGTAGACTAATCTGTGGTCTGGTACAGAAACGGAGAGGTTTTTCATTCTGGGTGTCAAGGTTTTATTATGTTCTGGGTATGAAGAACATTTGATAGATATTTTTTAACTATGGGGTTTATTTTTCTAAATATGGGTTGATCAAGCAGTCAGTTGCTTGGTGATGGCCTTAAATGAAAGTTTACGTTTTCCCAGTGTGAACCTTAAAAGGTCAGAGAAGTACGTTCATTTATTAAATTCTCTGTTGGGAGAACAAAGCTTCTCGTCCGACATTTTATTTCTGTTTGAGTTTTCAAAAGGTCTTGATCAGTGGTTGTGCCTTGGCTAGAATTTGTGGGACTTTGGTTGCTATACAGTTATTTACATACACGGCATTTACAAAATCTGAAGCATCATAAATAAAATTATTTATTTAATCATAAAAAATTGATGCCCCCCCCACACCCAAAGATTTCCAGATCCTAATCCTGAGAGCCCATGGGCATTACCTGACAGGGCAGATAGAGCTTTGCGGATTTGAGGAAGTTGAGGATCTTGAGATGGAGGGCTTATTCTGGATTGTCTCTGTGGGTCCAATATAGGCACAGAGGTTCTTGCAAGAAGTGGACAGAGGGAGTTTGACTACAGACAGAGGAGAAGGTGATGTGACAGAAGCAGAGAGAGAGCTGAAGATACTCCCTTGCTGGCTTTGGAGATAGAGGAAGGGGCCATGAGCCATGGAATGCAAGGGATAAAGGAGTAAAGACAGGAAAAGGTGAGGAATCAGATTTTTTCCCTACACCCTCTGGAAGAGACTGCCCCCTTGACTTTAGCTTAGTGAAACTAATTTTGGACTTTAGGCCCCAGAGCTGTGAAAGAATAAATATGAGTTGTGTTAATATAAGCCACAGAGCTTGTGATAATTTGTTGTGACAGCCACATGTGCATGCATGCTAAGCCACTTCAGTTGTGTCCAACTCTGCGACCCAATGGACCATAGCCTGCCAGATCCTCTGTCCATGGGATTCTCCAGGTAAGAATACTGGAGTGGGTTGCCATGCCCTCCTCCAGGGGATCTTCTCGACCCAGGGATTGGACCTGTCTCTCTTTTATCTCCTGCACTGGCAGGCAGGTTCTTTACCACTAGTGCCACCTGGGAAGCCCATGACAGTCACAGGAAACTAATATCGGGGGTGAAGGGAGGAGGCAGGGTGAGGGGTAGGGAATGCAGAGCATGTTCTGGAAGAGGGTTAGTTGGGGTTGAGGTTAGTTGGGGTGGAGTGGATGATGGGGAGGGAAGGAGTAGAGGGAAGAGTTGGGATGGAGGCTGAGGTCAATTTGTGGCCAGCCTAGGACAGTAGCCTATAAAGACTGTAAACGTGACTTAAATTCATGAGTGTGGCCTGTGTGCCCAGCTCTCTGCTAAGCAATCAGTGATCACCCCACTGTATTGTCTGACCATTGCCCCACTTTACAGATTAGGCAGGGGGGCTCTGAGACATGTGGCTGCTGGATGCTGGCAAACAACCTAACCAGGGCTTGGCTGCACGGCAGTCGGAATCCAGGGTCTGAGTCACTGCTATTTCATCTGCTGATGGAGCAGTGAATTGGCTTAAAGAACTGTAATTTTTTTTTTTCCAGAAAAATAACAGATGAATTAGAGAGGAAGGAGCCAGTAGATTTTCTTAACTATAGCACTACTGACAAATGAAAAGATACTTGCTCCTTGGAAGAAAAGCTATGATCAACCTACACAGCGTATTAAAAAGCAGAGACATCACTTTGCTGAGCAGGTCCATATACTCAAAGCTATGGTTTTTCCAGTAGTCATGTACAGATGTGAGAGCTGGACCATACAGAAGGCTGAGTACTGAAGAACTGATGCTTTCCAACTGTAGTGCTGGAGAAGACTCTTGAAAGTACCATGGATTGTAAGGAGATTAAACCAGTCAATCTTAAAGGAAATCAACCCTGAATATTCATTGGAATGACTGATGCTGAAGCTGAAGCTCCAAGACTTTGGCCACCTGATGCAAGGAGTTGACTCATTTGAAAAGACTGAGGGCAGGAGGAGAAGGGGGTGACAGAGGATGAGACGACTGGATGGCATCATCGCTCAATGGATATGAATTTGAGCAAACTCAGGGAGCCAGTGAAGGACAGAGAAGCCTGGTATGTTGCAGTTCATGGGGTCACAAAGAGTAGGACACGACTTAAGTGACTGAGCAACAGCTGACATGTTGGGCCGGACAATCCTCTGTTGGGGGGCTGTCCTGGGCACTGTAAGAATCTTGAGCAGCATCCTGGTCTCTGGCCTCTGGCTTCCAGGAGCATCCCTCACCCCAGTTGTGATGATCAAAGATGAGAAGGTTTTGAGAAAGAGAACTGGCAGGGGCCGGGGTGGGTAGGACAGAGAGAACAGAGCTGGGGGAGGAAGGTGGGCCTTCAAAGACAGAGTCAGAAGTTAATGATGAGGACAGAGGGTGTAATGCACTTTAAGGTCTTGGTGGGACAGGAGTGTGAGCTGTAGAAAAGGAGTTAAAGAAGCAGTGATCCTAAAGATGCACCAGCTTGAAGGGCATGTTTGATGACAAAGGAGTGAGATGCAGAGAAAGGCTGGAGATGCTGAAGGAGGAGGTCGTGATTCAAGACTTTGCACACAGGATGGTCTGGGAGGGAGAGAGAAGGGGAGCGGCAGGGAGGGAGGAAGTACACCTGGAAGAGAACACGGTAGGGGAAGACAGAGGGAAGGGAGGAAAGATGAATGCGGAGGGAGACGGAGGGGAGCTGAACAGGTTCCTATCTGGGCCCTTAACCCGCGACAAGGCCACCTCTGAGAATTTCCAGCTTGGAAGAGTGAGAATAACAGTATAATAATAGCTAGTGTCAGTATTAAGCGCTTGCTGTGTGCCAGGGACCATGCCAGGAGTTTGACACGTGATATTTTCTAATCATTACAAACAACCCAACAAGGAAATTTGCTTGCATTTCTAGGCACAACACAGACACTCAGCCAGGTTAAGCTGTGGAGCTGGTGAGTGGTAGGATCAGAATTCAGACTTAGGTCTGTTGCTGTCTCTCTCCTTTTAAAAAAAATTATCTTTAATTGTCATTCTCTTTTAAGAGAGACTAGAGGCTGGAGAGTGAAGGGCTGAGATGGCTGATGTGAAGGGTGTGTGATAAGAAGGATACCAAGGTGGCAGAGATGGGTGAGGCTCGCTCGGGCTGTAGAAGAGGGGTTTTCCTCTTTGGGAAGAAACAATTCTTTGTTATATTTCTGGTTACAGAAGTTAGGGAGGACAGAGGAGCCAGCCTGATGTGCTGCTGCCTGTGGGGTTGCAAAGAGTTGGACATGACTCAGCAACTGAACAACAATAGCACAAAAGTTACACTTTCCTATTACACAAATCCAAACAGGACTGAAACCCATAAAGTGAAAATTGGGCCCCCACCCCCGCTGCTGTATCCTCAGTGGCCTGAACACAGTAGGTCTGCAATAAATAGCTATTAAAAGACTGAGTGAAAGTCAAGGCTCATGCAGTCCCATCATACTGGGATAAGACTTTCAACACTTTTGTTTTTTTCTCCAAATTTCTCTTATGGTCAGATAATGACACTTGAAAAAAAAAGGGTGGAGGGGGGAAAGAACACTATGTATATTCTATGACAATCTGCTTTTTTTTTTTTTTCCACTTAAAAATACTGCTTATCTTGGATATCTAAGGAAGAGTGATTTTCTGTGTATTGAGAGAAGTCTTTGTAACAAAGTCTTGCGGAAATAGACACAATCAACTGAGCTTGCAAAGAAAAATGTAAAAAGTCCTTTCTTTCCCTTATCAAAAGAAGCTGAGAAACCACCAAGGAATGAAATTGAAGATCCTCCTTAATGTTTCCTATATTCCCAAGGACTTAGTGTTTCCTGTCTTCCCAGTGGGACCAGGTAGCAAATCCTTCACTAATCAGATTTTTTTTTTAGATCATGGACTTTTAAAAAATTAAGGTATGGTTGATGTACAGTATTATATGCTTCAGGTATACAACATAGTGGTTCACAACTTTTAAAGATTATATTCCATTTACAGTTATTATAAAAATGTTGGCTATATTCTCTGTGTTGTACAATGTATCCTTGTGGTTTATATTTTATACATAGTAGTTTATACCTTTTAATCCTCTACCCCTGTTTTTTCCTCCCCCTTCTCTCTCCCCAGTGGTAACTACTAGTTTGTTTTCTGTATCTCTGAGTCTGTTTCTTCTTTATTACAGTCACTAGTTTTATTTTAGATTCCACATATAAGTGACATTATACAGTATTTGTCTTTTTCTATCTGACTTAATTCGCTAAGCATAATACCCTCCAAGTCCATCCATGTTATTGCAAATGGTAAAATTTCATTCTTTTTCATGGCTGAGTAGTAATCCACTGTGTATGTGTATGTGTGTGTATATATACACATATATACATACCACATCTTTTTTTTTCCCCTTTGGCTATG